CACACCCAGCTATATATCTTTAAATGGGCAGCAATATATATTGGACTTTCCATTTTATGTCCATCACTGGGTTACTTGGTGGCTAAGGCCTTTAAAACTCCTCAATTATTTCTTTAATAAATGTCAAAATTAGTGAATTATTGAGCCTATAATTATTGAAGGTGGTTTTCTTGCCTCCAGTACATTGCTCATGTTGCTGTGAGATTAGTTTCCTGAAGTTCAACTTACTCTCCCTGTTTACCCTGTTTGAAACACCTTCGGGGGTTCCTATTGCTTAATGAATTATATCCAAGTCCATAATAGCATTTCAGTGGCCTTCATTGTCTGGCTCCATGTAGATTTTGGATTCCACTGATAACACCCCCATGCTGCCCCCTACCACACAACCAAAGTCTTGAATGCTCCCTCAGTCCCACACAGCCCTCATATCTTTCCTTACTTGCACTTTTCACAGCACCCTGTGGCTATCTCTTGTGTCCTATGCAAGGTGCTTCCTGAATGCCACATAACACTGCAGAAATGTGCTGTTGTCAGGGGCTGGTGCTGAGGTGTGGGTGCTGAGCTCTGCACCCACAAGTTGGTCACTGAAGAGATTACTGTGGGGCTTCTAGAGGGTGTACGTATGGGGATTCTAATGTGGCAAATGTCAGGCAGGCCTAATTGTTCCTCTGGCTTCTCTGGCCTCCCTTTAAAATGGGTCAGAAACTCACCCCTTATAGCCAGCACCCTCTGATCTGACTTTTTCAGAAGAATGGTGTGGGAGGACAGAGACAGGGCCAAGGACTCCTAAGAAATCAGGACCTGGAAGTCCAGCCTTTTCCTATGGCTGCTGTCAGTCAATGCCTCAGAATTGCCTGGATCCTTATAAAATGCAGCATTTCAGGCGCACGGGAAATAAACTAAAGTAGAATTTCCAGGGCTTGGAGTAGAGCTCCATGTCTGCATTTTAAGCAGTTATTCTTTGCAAGTGATTCAAGTCTAAGAACTACTGCTCCACAGGTAGGCAGATGATCTGGGAGAAAACCCCGGTGTCAGTCCTGTTCTTGCCACCATGACAATAAAGATTCATTCATGTTCCTTTCTTTGTCAAGGCCACATTAGCGTTTGGCTCCCCTACTGCCTGAACACAGCGGGAGAGTGGAGCCCAAGAAGTGGTGGAGTGAGGGAAAGTCAGGGGGATACCCCTCAGGGGTACAGTTCATGGCAAGCACAGGCAGAGGAGTAAAACATTACCGGGAGTGGGGTGAGGGCCAGTATGTTGATCTCTTTAACACCCACTCACTGATTTCTGGACGTTAGGTGCTGAGCAGGAAACCCTAAAAAGCCTACAGTCCCTGATGTCTCTCACTTCTCGCTCCAACCCCGCCTCCAGTCCTGTCCGTAATCCTTTTCCTCATCTCTAATTCTTGATGACATGTTGCAACCAGTGATAATCTATCAGAAGGAAGCTTGAGGAAGAATTGATTGTATTTAGTTATTGTTACTTCCTAAGATTTTATTTGTGTGTGTGTTTTGTAATGTGCATGATACATACAGAATCTGTATATTTATGGATGATAATACATGTTTTCAGGCTCAATCTCACTCTTCTTTAACTGCTCTCATCCAACATCAAAACCTTGCTGTCAGCTATCGGGATCATACAGCAACCTGATCCTCTAAGTTGGATCCGATGACTGGCTCTTTCTTCCTGATAACTAAGGCCTGGGAATTCTGTGCTTTGGTCTCTCCCAGGGCTTTAATGAATTTCCTTTTGATGCTCATCCAATGGAACCAGCGTTGCTATTTGACATTTTGAATTTCTCATTTCAGCATGTGACCTTGTAGGGTGTTGTTTTGAAGTAACCAAATCTTGATCTTAATCTTGTGAGCTTAACCCTTGCATGTCACGGCCAATTAAATACAGAGGTTTTTCATACGATGTACCAGAAAATTAAAGCTGCCCCTCTGTTAAAAGTTCGTTCTGTTCCACCTATGGCTTAATTCAAATTATCCTGTGTGAATGTATGAGTTTGAGATACAAAATATTTATATTCTTAGCTTTTTGAAAGTTCATTAATTAAATATGTCAGAATGTTAGTATTCATTAAATTACAAATACTTATTTTTACATATAACAGTTTTACATGTAAAGGGTGGTGTGTATGTGAACAAGTCAGAGTCATTTAATTTCTTCTTAAATCGGACTCTTTTGGGTTCAAGGGTTTTTTTTAATAATAGATCTAAATTTATACCAGTTGGCTCCTATTTCCAGGACAGCCTTGTCACTGCCATAAATCATCTCATTTCAGCAGCTACAGTAAATAATTGGGCCTCTGAGACACTGTTTTCCATCTTCTCTGCAGAGAACGCCCTACAACCTTTGGGTTCTCCCCTGGGTCTGCAGGGTGATGGTGCTGTTGCCTGTGGCCTTTTCATTTATTATTTATTTCATTTATTGCAGGACTCAGAACAAATTGGAATTGGCAAAAAATGGAGAGAGAGGCTGTGGAACGATAATAGCTAAGGTTCTCATGATTGCCAGAAACTGTGGGAGAGCAGAAAAGGAAAAGTCAACAACGAAATGAAATGCTTCAAATCAAGGTACTTCTCTCTCTCTCTCTCCCTCTCTCCATCCCTCCCTTCTGTTCCCTTCCCTTCCTCTTTCTTTCCCTTCCTTCTTCTCCCCCTCCCCTTTTCTTTTTCTTTCTTTAAGAAATATTTGTGATTTGGTGAATTTGTAGATCTTTGCAACAAAAGGCTGGATTAATGAACCTATTTTTCTTGTTCTGTTTTCTGTTTTCAAGTTAAAACATGGCTTCAATTGGTAGAAGACCAGGGCATGCTGGGGCAAGGCCAGGAGCTGCATCAAGAGGTAGACACACGCTTGCAGTATTGCTTCCTAAGGGGCAAAACTCCCCATTTAGGCCTGGGCTTTTCAGGTAGTAAACATCCATGGATTGATCACGTCTTGTAGTCCCTAGCTGAGAAAAGAGCCAGCCCACTACTAGTTTACCATAAACCTTTCTCTTTGGTTTTGGTTGGTGAAATACCTTCCAGCTTTTGCACACAGATTAATTTGCTGCAGTAGAACTTTATTACAACTCAAATTTTATCATACAACGTTAATCCTAGAGCAATTCTTCTAAAAACAGGGAGCTTTTAAGTGGATGGCTCCCAATTGATACATGTAAGGCATTTCAGTGAAAGGCAGTCTAAAATACATAATTCTCCATTTAGCCTAGTAGCCAGTATAGAGTCAGTATTTAGTACACCGTGCCTCTTTTGTCTTCTGGATATGGGTAAAATAAATATATGGACACACACACAATTTTGTAAAAGGTTGTCTGTCTGTTAATGTTTTCCTCCTTTTATTTTTAAAATAAAAAAAAACACACACACATGAGCAGGCCTGTATACATTCTGTGTTTCATAATCTGAATTTGTGTATAGCTTCTAGAGGATCATGAAATTCAGTGATGTGAGACTCGGCACAATATCAGACGAGCACCATTATTGTCTATGTTCTTCCTGTGAGGAAACTGAAATCTAGAACAGAGAAATAACTTGGGGAATCACCTAGCTAGCATTCAAACCCAGATCTATCTAACTCCAACAACTCTTTTCCCCACCACTATATGAGACTACCCCGTAGGTCATGCTTAAAACCATGCCTGCCATTTGAAAGTATTAGTTTTCATTGCTGTGTAACAAATCATCCCTAATCCTAACTGCTTCATAACACAACACTGCCTTATTTTCTTGCACTGTGTCTGTGGGTTAGGAATTCAAGAGGACCTCGACTAGGCAGCCCTAACTTAGGGTCTTCAGTGGAGTTGCAGTCAGATGTGGGCTGAGGCTGCATCATCTGCAGACTTGACTGATGCTGGAGGGTTCACCTCTATAATGGCTCAGTTGTGCGGCAGGTGAATCAGATGTGGCTCCTGGCTGGGGACTTCCTCTGCTCCCCAGGTAGATGCCTCCATAAGACTGTTGAATGTCCTTTTAGCATTGTGGCTGCCTCCCCCAATACTGGGTGATCTTAAAGATCAAGGTGGAAGCAGCAACACCATTCATGAAGTGGACTTGGACGTCACATACTACTCCTGTTACCACACTGTGTTCGACACACCGCCCACTGTGACTCAGTGTGCGGCAACCAGGACATATGGAGAATTGAAGGTTTTCTTGCAGTCTGGCTACACCACCAAACTACCTCTTTTTTTATAACCCCTAGACTGCAGCCTACCATTTTTACTCTTTTTCCATGTATTTTTCCTTCTTCAGAAACTATTGGTCTACCTTCCTGAAGCCAACAATGCAGTAATTGTGTAGGAAACCTCAAATTGAGGCTGCTTTGTCTATCCCCAGTGAGACAACATGAGAATAGGTTTGGTAGAGTGGTGCTTCTCAACTGATCAGAAGTTTTTTCCTGCTGATCTCCTTGGGAGAAACTCTACAATAGTTTTTAGTCTTTAGAACAGCTATGAAATAGATCCCTAATACTCCATTTCAAAGGCAACCATGAGTCAATTCTGTAATATATAAAGAGATATAAACATACTTATGCATTAATAATGATGGCTGGTTGATGTATAGAAATAACAGCATAATGATAAATGTCTCTTTGGGAAGACATCTGTCTTATTTGGTTTCCTCTACTTTATTAATATCCTTCTTTGTATGTAACTTTTCACCCAAAGTATAACTTGATAACGATAAGCACTGGTTAAGACAGGAAATGTGCTTGCCAGAAACAATGCCTGAGTTTTAAAAATGCAATGTGTTTCCAGTCTCTGCATCTCTCTTGTTCCAAGTCATTATCAATACTAATATAAATTTTTCATTGCTTAAGCCATTACAATATACAGGGAATAGATTTTTCAATTTTTCAAGTTCCACTGAGTATATTAGCAAAATTATCTGTCTGTCAGCAGGCATGTGGTGACGCCAGTAGCATCTATAATTCTGACTGTTCTAAATCTTTTTATTTTTATTCTTACAGGTCTCTAGTGGAGGAAAGGCCAAGGATTTATTTGCAAATCCTTTCCTTCACTCCTTCCTCCTGTCACTTTCTCTTACAGCATGTATTCTTGTCTGAGTATTTAAAATGATAAATATTAGAAGCAACCTAAGACATAGGGAAAATATTGACAAAGTTGTGGGCTTTAAATACCTGCTTTAAGATTCTAATTTTGTTAGTTATTTTTAATTCCCTGGGAAGTGAGGGCCAAGAATTAATTAATGAGGAGGTTCTTAACGGGTACAATACTTTATCGGACTTTGAAGGTAGACTCAGAGTGGATCTGTGTTCAGACATCCTACTCACTGACAATTCTGGATTCAGACGCAGTGACTTAGGAAGCTTGAATGCTCAACTCTTCTGAAATCTTCATGAGCTATACAAACGGTGTGCATGCCTCTAGTATGAATTTGAGATTTCACTGTGGGGCAGAATGCAGTAGGAACCTTGGAGAAGATTGTGTTTGAGGAATAGATTAGAATACAACATGCATTCTAAAAGATGGAGTCTCTCAAGCTAAGTAATAATATTATAAAATCATAGCCTGTACATTTGAGAGAGGGCATCAGGATGTGCATTTCAATTGCTTTTCTATTAGAATGTGAAAGAGAGGACAAGTACCTGACCTGATGTTGAATGGTTAAAACATAGTGAGGGGGCCTCCAGTCAACATCTGCTGATGCACCGAGATTTTTTCCCAACACACTGAATTATTTCAGGAAAAGGACAAAATTAATCAATGAATTTCTTAATTTAAAAATTTCAGCATAGTAACATAAAGAATAAATTATTTGGGTTGTTTTTTGGTTGAAATATACGGTCTATGCAATTAACTGCATAGACATAGTTCAATAACTGGTCTTTTATTATTGCTGGTTCTTTACATCCACGTGCTAAGCTTGCACCCTAGCATAAAGCCCATGGTGTTCATCCCATCATCATGCAGGCAGCCTTACCAATGGACCTGAACTCATTAACATCTGTATGAATTTTCTACTGTTGCTGTTAACAATTGATCACAAACAGAGTGCAACACAAATTCATTATCTTAAAGTTTTAGAGGTCTTCAGTTTGAAGATAGATCTCATTTGGCAATGTGTCAGCAGGACTGTATTCCTTCCAGAGACTCTAAGAAAACATCTATTTCCCAACTTTTCTATTTTCTAGAGGTTTCCTACATTGCTTGGCTCCTGGTCCCCTCCTACCAGTGACATCATTCTGATCCCTGCTGTCACCCCAGCTGGTTTTCTGGTGCTGATACTGCTACTTACGTCTTATGAGGACCCTTGTGATTATGTAGGTTCTCCCTTGACAATTCAGTATAATGTCCCCATTTCAATATCTTTAACTTGATCACTCTGCAAAGCCTGTAAGGCAATACTTTCACAAGTTCTGGAGATTAGGCTGTAGACATCTTTGCAGTGGGAAGATTTGCATTTCATATTCAATAAAAATAATTCAAAATGATAGTAAGAGTCTTGCAGAGTTCGAAGACTTCAATTGAGCCTAACTTAGAATATACCAGCTGGGGTAACTTTAGATTGCTTACTAAGTCTTGCTGAGCCTTAATTTCTTCATGTGTAACTGAAGTGCATAGAAATAACAGCCAAAATGTATTATGCACTTAGTATATTCACTCCTTCACAATTTTTTAAAAAAATACCATCATTCCTATCTCCAAGAAGAATGCTAGGGCTGAGGGCACAATAAGTAGACGATGGCACAGGGTCTGTCTTGGGAATGTGCCATTGTGGGAGTAGACCATCCACAGTCACATTTACAATCCAACAAAGGTTCCTAACTCAGCCAAGCACTGTGCTGCACACCTGGAATCCCAGCACTCTGGTAGTCTGAGGTAAGAGTGTCTCAACTTTGAGCTCAGCCCAGGGCAACTAAGTGACTTAGCAAGACCCTGTTATAAAAATGGGTTGGGGAAATAATTTTGTGTGAAAACTCTGGGTGCAGTTCCCCTACTGCCAAAAAAAAAAAGTCATACATCTTCACATAGGATTGCTGCCTACTGTAGAAGGACTTGTGTAATGGGAGATCATAAGGAAGAATTTGTTTTACAAGGAAGTTTCGGGAAATCTCCTTCCTAGGAAGTGACTCCTGAATTGAGGTCTGGGGAATATGTAGAACTAAAGGAGGCAGAGGAAGAAGGGAAGTGTATCCTGACAGGCAGAGGGATGTATGGATAGAAAGGCTCATGGGAGAAGGGAAGAGAGTGAGTGGAAAAGGCCGGAACAAAGCTGGCACTGGAGCAGGAAAAGTAACTGTATCAGCACCAAGCCAAGAGTTTAAAGTGGTGACCCAAGCTCCTGCTGATCATGCAAGAGTCTTAGCTGACTTACTTGACATTCTGTGCCTCAGTTCTCTCATTTATGAAAGAGATGACCACGTGGGCAGCTTTTAGAGTGTGTATTTTAGATGAGGAAATGCTTGCAGTCACTGTGCAGTTGTTCTAGCCATGAGCTCATTTATCTTTGCATCAGCCTTATGATTTAAGTAAAAGCAGAAGCAAATAGAATGAAATAACTCATCCAAGTCAGACAGCACATATGTGAGAGGGCAGGGGTGGGGCACGGTGGTGTCTGCCTATGCTCTCCAGCACAGGTGTCACCCACCCCAGAGGTGGCTTTGCAAGATAAATGGAATAACATCCCGAGAGTGTTTTGTTAAGTAACTCTAAGTTCATAAATCAAAGGTTTGTGATTATTCATGTTGTCTTCATAACCACTATTTCCCTTTTATTATTACTCATACAGTGTTATAAAAAAGGAAGCATAAGCTGGCTGAAGCTGACCTATTTTATTTCTCCTCTTAATTCACTTTTTGCTACAAAAATTCCAATAAAAATGAAGCAGAACACGAAGAAGCAATAAATGGTAAGTGTGTTCATATCTTCACTGACTCTGTGGCCTCCTCCCTTTTGCCTTCGGTGCCAGTACTTATTTCCAAAGTGACAGGATGACTGGAATGGCTTGCTCCCCTTATGCCCTTATAACTTGAAAAGCTAATAATTAAATAATCTGGCAAATTGTGTTAATCACTACTTGAGGTTTACCTACGTTTAAAGTATTAGAATACAAAAATGTATTTAACACTGAAACTATAGAAGTCTACTTAATCTTCCTTTAATAAATTTGAAGACACTTCAGGAACTGTGCTACTCCTCAGGATTCCTACCACCATGCCAGTTACCACTGACCTGATGTAGTGGATGAGCACTGGCCTAGTGGAGGTCTTCAGCTGGCCAAGTGCCAGATCAGCATCTCTTACTGGAAGCTGTCATAGATTAAAATTTGATTTTGCTGATTAATTCTGTAAATTTGGAACAATGCAGTGAGGATTTTCAAATAGCGTCCTTTTAATTTTATCATTAATGGAAACAATAAAAAGATCGTGTCTTAAGTGAAAAACGCATAAGCCAATAATATTTCCTGAGCAAATCAAATAGAACATGAAAAGAAGAAAGAAAATGCTTCCATTTGTCAAGTGATAGGTTGTTTTTATCATTCAGGTAGATGCCAGTGTCAAAACACAAGTCTTTCCCAATTATGATGCTAGAAAGGCACTGAAAAATAGATTTATATTTACAGATATGTACAAAAAGCATATTCATATGTATATTTTTATTGTTGCTTGGCATTGAAGAAGAGATTAATAACACATGTTCCTTAATTTTGTGTGATCTTAGGTCTCTAACTCCTCCTATAAATTCAGGGCAAGAACCTAACTAATGAAAATGTATGGCATAAATCACTATGATAAGATGTATCATTCTATAAATGTACAGGTTTCAAAACTGGCCATTGATTAGCTGTTTTAAGAGCTAAAGAAGGCACTGACAGCTTGAAGCCAGGCTTTCAAAGTTGGAGCCAACAGCTTAGCTTATGCATCGACCAAAATAACGCAATGAAATTCTTGTCTCTTAACAAGCTTCCTCCAGTCATGAAATCCCCTTTGCTGTGCTGCAGCCTCTATGTGAAAAGGAGAACATGCTCCGATATTGAAAAACCGTAGGCCATTACCTACTTTATCACTCATATCAAAGACACTGAAAAGATAGCCCATGTGCACTGATGGATTATTCTCATCATGAAAGTCTGATGACCCCACTTGGGCTTTCAAACAAGGCATTTAATAACCACTGCCTTGTTAAAAGGTGGAAAATGATCTGGCGGGTGGCCTGATAGGACGGGATTTTATTGATTTTACTGAGGCCCTTGACTTGGGAGATCACAGGCGTCTTAAGGGCAAAGTTAAAAGGAAGCATTAAGATGGATGAGTAATTACCTGTGTGATGGATGTCATTCTGTAAACATCAGGATTGGGGAGCTTCTCCTTTGGGTATCAGTTGGTGGAGGAGCGAGTGAACATAGGCAAAGTCTCTCTGCAGCCACTCCTAGTCCCTTTGTCTATTTATAAGTTAGGTTTGGCTCTGATGGAGTATGGGTATAAATGACTTTAAAAAGATAACCTTTTTCCATTTAAATGTTGGCTTATAAGGTGGAATAGTTAGATTATTAAGGATGCTAGAAAAATGAAATGATGTGTTAAATGTGAAAGAAACAAGAAGAAAGAAAGAAAAAGAAAAGAGAGAAAGAGAGCTTCCAAAATTCCTTTATCTTCCGTGATTCTGAGTTAGGAGTTTCTCAGAAAGAAGAACTAGTAACCTAGGAGTTTGGATATCTGAGAGCTCCAGGCATCATCAGAAAAGACACACTGATGGTGGTCTGGGAGGAGATGCTGAGTGGAGATCAGTACTACTGAGGACTTCTGGAGACCTCACGGGGCACTGGAGAATGACAGACAGCAGCATTTTGAGTGGTGGAATAGTTTTGTTGTTGCGCTCTGCCTGCGTAGTATTCTGTGGATTTGCAGATGGCTGCCTGAGACATGTGGAGTAGGGTTCTTAGGCCCATCTCTGTTCTCTTTCAGTTTATGTAACCGAGTGTGACATAACAAGGCCACACTGCAGGGGGAGAAGGAGTGGAAGGAAGAGTTGGATTTCCTGGAAACCTCTGGGCTATTGAACCTGGGTGATGTCTGAGATTCCTTTAGCATCATAACACTAAAGTAAGAAAATCTTCCCATGTAAAGGAAAGGATAACTTTTGGGTCTGTACATGATCTAGGGAAGGAGAGAGCAGGTAAAGTAAGTTTTCCGTGGAGGTAAGGTTATATGAAGGTGTTGCAGAAATTCCTTGTAAGAGTCTAAATTTTACTGTGGCATTTTTGGACATCTTTATTTACTTTAATGATGAGTAGCAAGTAAATTTTTGTCTTCTTGTGGGCATCCCAATCAAGCCAGTACTGTCCTGGAGTGTTCAAACAGTGTCCAGGATCTCCAAGGCTATGTAAAAACTCAAGGATGATGTAATCATGGTCATTGTTCTCAAAGAGATTTTAGTGTAATAGGTGCAGTTAAATGTGTAAATATATAAATAAACAGGGTATTATCACACAAGGGGTTACTTGGCTCTTGGGTAGCACATCATCCAAGGTTACAAAGGAGACACTATCTCTTGTGTTTTTTTCTGTTGTAGGAGATACTGACTTGTTCATTCATCCAGGGAGGAAGTTTTTGTTCTATAATCAGTTGTGACTCTGCTACTCACGTTACGTTGATTAAAGAACAAAGTTTCTGTGCATGATATGGCAGAATAAATCAGCAGTGAAAGAGCTCCATGTGAGATGAGAACCCCTGTGAAATATCATGTAGGTTTAACTTGATTTACACTAGATGAAAGTGTCAGTACAGCATGAATAAGCATTAAAAAAGGACAGAAAATCCTTCTCCTTATTTCTTATTTGGAAATAAAATTTTTAGTAGGTCAGACCGGGAATAACTCATAGAGGTGAGGTGCTAAAGTTAAATGTTAATTTAATCATTCTTTGAACTAATAATTTTTGTACAAAGAGAAAAATTAATGGGACTGTACAGGGGGGAATAATCAGGTAATGGTTGTTCTGAATATATTATAACCCAATGATACGGTATGATATATGGGAAATTATATTTCTATGTGAGGGCAGTACCCAATGATTAGAATATATTGTTCTTTATATGGATTTTTATATGTGTGGGTAAATTGGCTTTTTCTCAGAGAAAAAAAATTAATGCATAGGCATTTCACTTTGTCAGAACCAATCTATAGTGAAGTATTGCAATAGATAATGAACATGTCTGAAGGGTATTTGAATTGTTTTCTTCCCTTTCTCTCTTGTGAATGCTTTAACTGTAACTCTACCACAGGATAACCTATCTTGTAATAGCAAATTGCTAGAAATTTTTGATATCACACAGAAAAGAAAAGGGATGTCAAAGGCTAACTTAATGTATTTTTCTTATTCTTCTGTGTTTCAGTCCACTCCTCATGCCCCAGCTTAGGCCTTTGATGCAAGCTTATCCACAGCCTTTGTTCTAATTGTTCATAGCAGAGGAGATGAATAGAATTCCTACTTATAACATTGTGATTTAGTCCAAGAATATAATCCTTTCTAGTGGACTGTTTCATGTTTTGCTCACATGGAAATAATGTACCCTGTTGAAAGGCAATTCCTATATATTACAAATGTGTTTCTTAGTACTAGCCCATTGGGAAGGACATCTGTTTTGTGAAGATGTTTTGGGGTGCACTTTTAATGAGCAGTATTTAAATTTAAGCGTGTGCAATATTTTTATGAAAGATAGTAAAATTTTATTAAATATCTCTCTATATTTTAAAAAATATATCTATGAAATGTTGGTGTTTTTGTGATAAAAATAGTGTTTCCTGAGATGAATGAGTTATGAAAAGAAGGTGATCCAAACATGCTTATATAAACAACTTATGAGAGACCCTCAGCCTTGCAGTAGGCAGACCTGAGCTAAATTTTAGTTGTACCATCTGTGAGATCCACATCATGTTTCTTAACCTCTGTAGCCCCTGATTGTTCATCAATAAAACAGTTAATAATATCTAATTAAATGATATTAATAAAAGTCCTTTCTCAGTGCCACACTGTGAGTTTTAGCAAATGTCAGCTGTAATCATTAAATGTAAATTCATGAGTAGCTTTGAAGAAATCTCATCTCTTCCGTAGAGTGAACTGCTTAGATTCTGTATGGACAAGCTGGTTTATTTTTAGAATGAGTCGACTTGAGGCTCTCAAAGAGTCTTATTTTCACATCACCCACTTAGATTGGTGTGGCAATTTACCCAGCAGCTCAGCAGGACAGTTTTGCACTGGGTGAGCTGACCTGAGCTATATTACATTGACCTTTAACAACTCAGGCATCAATGGTTAATAAGGACCAGACCAAAAAGAAACCTATATATAAATTTAAGGATAAGACCTCCAAACATCCTTACATGATAATAAAATAACTTTTATTTTTCTCATCATATGTGTTTACTCTAGAAAATTTAGAAAATGCCAACATCAAAAAGAAGAAAAAAATACTTTTCTCCCATGCTTACATATAATTTACAATGGTTAGCATTTCAGTATTTATTGTCCAGTTTTTTCTAAACAAGCAAGATTTTTTTCTAACAAACAATGAAATCATATTTCTTTGAAGTATTTTTCTTTCTTTAATGGTATATTATGACCATATTTTCAGTTTTTAAAAAGCACTCTAATACATGTTTATGGATACATAATATCCATCATACTTTATTCATCGCCCTCCTTGTGGACATTTATGTTGTAGGTAATTTTTTATTATTGAAGTCATATTGTGGTAAACATTATCATAGTTATTAGATATTTATAAGCAGCAGCTATTAAAATTCCTTAGGCTATAAAAGAAGTTGGAGGTAGAATTTCTAGGTGCAATGCTATGAAACTAGACTCCGTTGTCATTGTCTTTTTACTTCTTGCTCTTTCCTACCAGGTGTTTCATTATCTCTGATTTTCCATTTTTCATCCATGCAGTCTGAATGCTTAGTGAATACTACCTCAGTCTAACTCCAGGAATGACTTGGATTGGTCAGTTCTACTCTTTTGGTCAATAACTGATTCAAGACTGGCCCTGGAATGCAGAGAAAGCAAGAAAATTTTTCTGGGAGCTTCTAGTAAAGTTATTCCTCACTATTTCGGAGAACATTTACAAGTGACTCTTTTTTTGTTCTGTTTGCTCATGAGACCTCAGAAACCCCAAAGCTATGCTCAACTTGTCTGATGAGCCAGTCCAACCTGGGGAAGACAGAGCACAAATCAGAGCTACTGAACTAAGCCTACACTGCAGCCTGCTCAACCTTCCCATACCTACTTATGTGAGCCGATGCATTTCCTCATTTCTAAAGCAGCACCATTTGGGTTTTCTGTGACTTATAGTCCAAAGCACACTAACTGACACAAAAATTGACACACTCATTTACAGAACTTAAGGATTTAGTACTTAAAATTCTGATTTTTAGGACTGTAAAATCAGAAAATTCTACTGAGAAAGTTCATATTAATTCATTCTCTTATAAGCAAGTGATACAGTTTCTTAAAAAATATTCTGAAGTTTACTTTGTGCTGTCAGAAGCTTATCACCAGAGTATGTGGCAAACTGGACACTTTTCTGTCACTGTGTTGGAATCTTCCAGAACAATCCTCTTCTCAAATAAGTTTTGCCCTCTGCTCTTCCATCTTTTCTCCCTCTCTTTTTCCCATCTTCATTTACATCAAGGCTTGGTCTAAAAACATGAACTGGTTACCAAGGCTCTTGTGTTGTAATTCCCATAAATTCTCTGTGGTGTTATGTAATTGTTTTACTCTGTCTGTGACCTGCTTTCTCCTCTTGTTTTCTTTTACAATGTACTTTTGTGGACAAAGGAAGCGGTAGATTCGAAGAAAGTTCTTTGACAAAATACCCAAGTACTATCTATTTTGCATCTGTTTCATCTGTAGCTCAGGCTTCTACCATGCTGCTAATACTCTCCCTGACTTTTTTATACTCTGCTCTTGCCAAATTCCAGCTTCAGATTCCCAAATTCTTCCCTAAGAATTCAAGAGCATTCTGGGAAGTTACTACCTACCTTATGGGATCTACCTCTCTCTTCCTCTTCTGCTCTGCACGATGTAGCCATGCTTCCACCCTGGATCATCCCTAGGCTCCAGTTATGCCAGGTGCACTACAACTGCGCTTCCTCCAAAAGCCACCACTGATCATAGAATGGTGTCACAAAATTCTCCTTGGAAAGGAAATGTCTGATTTGAGGATGCATCATTTGTCAGTGATTCCTATAACCAAGCAACAGTCCTGCACTTCGCCCTCTCACATAATGCTTCCTGTCTCTAAATAGTCTTCCTACCCCATTTCTCTGGAACCCACTTGGTTGTGGTTCATTCTTTCTCCTCCATAAAGTCTCTTCTGTATTTTTCTCAGCCTCAGTTTTCTTGGCTTACTTCCTGGGTCCAGGGAAAAGACATATAAAATGTGAAAGAAACACAGTAAAATAAATCAATAGATAAGTAAATAAATAAATGCAGGGTTTGCACATTCAACAAGCATTTATTAGCCAGGCGTAGTGGCACATGCTTTTAATCTCAGCACAGAGGCTCGGGGGGAAGATTGCTCCTAATTCAAGGCCAGTGTAGGCTACACAGGGAGCCCTGGTTTCAAAAAGACCTAACCAAAGCAAACCAGACTAAAGCAAAGCAAGCCAAGCCAAGCCAAGCTAAGCCAAATAAAAACACAAACACAAATACAAACACAAAACACCGAAGCATTTATTAAGTGCTCACTAATTATGAAGACCTCAGGTCCAGGTTGGCTATTTCTCTGAAGAACTTCTCCTATAGCGTCCTCAGATTATTGCTGCACAGCAGGTATATCACATTGTAGTATATTTGGCCACATTCATTCTGGATTGTGAGCTCTGCGAGGGCCCAGTCGCTGCCATTCTTGCATACCTTGACAAATCCCCAGCTTAGAACTCATGCATCTTCACATAGTTGTTTAACTTACATCTCACATATTATATGTCACAGACTAAATTTCTAGTATTCTTCTTCCCAACCTGCCCTTTCACAGATTATTCTCATAAGAAAGGAGGGATTTCCTTCTATCTGTTTCTCAGGTCCATGATGACTCTCATTCACATACCACACCATCAGCAAATCCTGTTACATCGACATCCTGTATCCTACTGTCCCTACCCTGTCCAATGAGTCTGAGACCAGGGTAAGGCAGAAGAGGTGCCTAGTCACATAGTTTGCATCTCAAGGACATGCAAGTAGAGATCCTCCTGATA